CCCCCCCGTGCATTAGGTAACATACAAAATCATCGTATAATTGTTTTATATTTTCAATTAAAACTTCAGGTATATTATGTTGTCTTAATACTGTCCAGATACTATTTCGATTTAGCGAATCAAAAACCTACTGAAAATCAAGAAAGATTTATATATCCGAATTCTCCATTCTACACTCTGTACAATAATTACCCTCATGATGTTAATTTGGTCAATATATGATTTTTCTGGGCAGAACCCAGCTTGCTCTCGGCTGGTATTTTTTTTCTTTTTAAAATTTCTCTATTCTATTAAATGGCATTTCGGACCAAATCTTGCATGGGATAGATAATAATGTGATCCTCCTCCAATTTTTGCAGTCTGTGAAGTTTCTTTCCTTCGGTTATTTTACAAGTAGTCGTTCTTTTCATTATGCAAGATCTCTTTCTTCTTCCATATTTCCTTTAAAAAAGCTGTAGAGGATATTAACGGTAGTATTTATATCATTTACAAGGACTTCAGTCGTTATATTGTCCATAACTGCAGCTTTCCCGCGTTTCAGGATTTAAGGCTTCTTTTATCTTTATGTTGGGGCTTGATCTTGGATTTTCTGTTCACCATTTGTTTCATTTCTTTGTTCCTGATCATTCACTCCTAGTGATAGGTTAGGGGTAACGTCTACATTATATACTTCGTTGAAGTACTCATGCCTTAGTTTCATTTGGTCCTCTTCATTTCAGATTAATTTTCCATTTTTATCCTTATCCAAGTAAACATCTCGCTGCCTTTTTGTGGGAAAGCGGGGTTCTAGTTATATTATAGAATTCTTTCATATCATTTTTCTTTGCTGCATTTTCTGCTTCCTCTGCTTTTTTGTTAATCCATCTTTTTTAACATTTCTGACGCATTTCTTTATTTTCTTGTGAATATCTGGTTATTGCCTTTTCAGCTGTAATGTTCTATGTCTGGTTTTGGTTTGATGTAATTTAAGTTTAAGATTCATCCTCTCTTCGATATTTTCCCATGTATTTTCCGACAGCCATTATTTTTTCTGCCTAAAACACACCACCTTGTCAGTCACCTCGTTTAGATCCTCTTTTATTGTTTTCCACTGGTCTTCTACACTTAGATCATCCATTTGCAGAGCTTCAAAACGATTTTTTAAATTATATTTTAAACTCTTTACTTATTTAAGGCGTATTAAGTTTTGTTACAATATATCTCGTTCTTTGAGCTTCCGATCTTGTTTTATTTTATAAAACCTTGTTACGAATTTTTGCCTCCACTAAGTCATGGCCACTGCCAATATCTGCTCCTCTTTTATTGAACACGTCGAGTAGTGATCCACGCCATTACCTAATGATTGCTACATGGTCGATTTGATTTTGTGCCCTGTGTTCTGGGGAAACCCAGGTGACTTTATGGTGTGTTTTATGGAGGAAATAGTTCCTCGTATAATCATGTCATTATGAGCGCAGAATTCGACAAAGAGCTCTCCATTTTCATTTTTTCTCCTAGCCATGCGTTCCCATTACTTGTTCAAGGCCTTCATATCTTTCTTTGTGATGTTTAGCGAAACTTGTAACTTTCAGTAGAATTTACATTTGATTTGCTCGTCTGTATTCTCCGTTGGAGCATAGCGTACAATTATGCTAACATTTTTAATTCTGGCCTTAAACATTGCTGTAATGATTCTATCCGATATTGGTTCCCAACTTATTAAGCTCTTATTCATGTTCTTCGACATTAGTATTCCTACATCATTTTGGCTCTCCTTTTTCTCACTTTCAGAATAAACGAATGTAAAGCCATCCATTGTTTTATGTTCGCCCAAATCCTTCCATCTGATTTCACACATCCTAAGAATCTCCCAAGATAGTCCGCCATGTTCTTACTGCTTCTCTCAGTTTTCCTGGTCCTGTACGTACATTCCAGCATCCAATTTTTGTTGCACTTTTCATGCCAAAAGTCTTCAACAAAGTAGTCCGGTCATTCTTTGCTTTGGTTTCTTCAATAAATAATTTAAAAAATACTGGTTATTAGCCAATACCTTCGAGTGTCCACTAGCGGCCTGGCCATCATTCTGCCCTGGACACTCAACCTAGCGCGGTTGGACCACTTTAATAGCAGGAGCGTGGGCACATTCTCAGTTGATTAACAATGTGACGTCATGCTGATACTCCACACGACCAACAGACACAAAGACCCCCTAGCTCCTGATAGACCTACTATCCGCCATGATCGCGGAAGCGCGACTCCCAAACCCGATTGAAGATGGTTTCATGATTGGGCATTCGGCCACTCCCTACTTTTAAAGCCGCGCACAAAGCCTAGCCTTCCGATGACCGAAGTCACCGCTGGACACAAAGTCCGTTCTGGCGCACCAACGGCTGGTTTGCCTCGATCGCAGGAGCGATCTTATCCGATTGAGAATCGGCGTGAATCGTGGCACTTCAACCACTCTTCACCTCGGAGCCACGCACACAGCATCCACTCCCCGCTGACCGCAGTCACCCAAGGACCTAAAGTCCGCAGCGCTTCGTCAACTAGTCTCTAGCCCTCGCGGAGCCGGGGCTCGCATATGCACCGCGTTCGTGGCGCCACGTTTGTGCACCCACCACGCCACCGAGTTCCCAGCTGTCTCCAGAACCCACCCACTGGCTCTGGTACACTCTTTATATAGGCGAGGCCCACGTGACCTCACTACGTCACATCGCCACCCCCTCGCTTGTTATATACAGTGAAAAGTTTCTATAGGCCGCAGGACTCCAAAGCCTTGTGTCTCCCGTTTCCCGCGTTCTTCCCTTTAGCGGAAAAAATCCTACTTCCTTGGTGGCCAGAAGTGCTCAATCCCTCTACCAAGCGTCCCCAAATAGATGCCATGAGGCACGCTGGCTAATACGTTACAATAATCATCTGTAAATGTGGTTATCCCGCCAGTACTCGGTCGCCATTTCCTCCTTTGCGTTAACTGGGCCCACCCCGGGAAGGCGAGGATGGCATTAGGTTCTGAGAAGCTTTAACGTGCGCATCAGCAACCCTTAAGCCCCTTCTTTGATATTGGGGTAGCTTTTCGTTCTTGCCCCAATCTCTTGTCTTGCCACACCCCATCTATCGCCGCCCAAACATCACTTTACCTTTTTCGCTACTGCTACGAGTACCGCGGTCGAGAGAAAGTTATGGAATGCTGCGCGAAACTAGAGGTGCTAACAGCACATACTTTCTCACATGATTGAAAAAAATACATTATATTACAAAGTAATTTCTGCCGTACTAAAAGCTCAGTTATAACTTGAAAAAATCTAATTCAAACGATTCGCCTCTCGTGCATATCTGCGATTTTTTAATTTATTTCCATTGTCTGGAAGAGTACCATTCCTTACTTTTAGAAATGAAACGAACATGAAAGACTTTAAATGTTACAGAATTTACAGAACATAATACAGAAAAGCAAGAATAATTTCACACCTTGATTTGAAGTGAGATTTCACTTTTATAATACCATAATCAGCTATTAAAACTTCTTAAAGTATAGAAGTGAGTTTGTTACTTCTAAATAAAAAATGTATTACTTTCTTTCAATTTATTTCCTTCCATAAAAATATAAT